ATGATTTAAGAACCTAACCTACATTGGAATATTTTCTCATAATATACTCAGGTTTTTTTTTAATTTAGAATACACATTTTCATTACTATCTATTAGCGACTTACCCTCGCTTCGCTCAGGTTTGTCCCTATGGGTAGGCTTTAACGGTTAGTATGGAATAAATAGACTATATATACATATTATACATAGGTATGATATGTTGTTGTGGGGTGCATTATAACCTGTTTTCCCGCGGTAAAAAGTAGCCTATGTCATTCTACAGCCCTCCAACTATCTCCGCACAAAAAATAACGCCCATCCGTCACTTTGTTTCGACGCGAAACAAGGACAAACAAACAAATTCAAAGTCAAACTATATCATTGAAACAGAAAGTGTCAAATCTACAAATTTATTCAAGTAGTTTATATTTATTATTTTTTATATTAATTAATGTTTATACTTAATGTTGTCTTCATGATTATAAAGTAGTAGTAAGGAAAAAGAAAAATATGTTTTTACGTTTTTCCGTGAATTCCAATTTTTATCTTCATAAAAACGTTCTTCGGGCTTCGAGTTTGGCGCTTAGCACCTTTAGCCATTCATTTTTATTTATAAGATAAGATTTTCGATAAAACTTATGTTTAGACAGGTTTTATTCTGTAGAATAATTATGATACACATAAAACGGGATAAGAAAAGGTATAAAATTACACTATTATCATTTATGATATTAATTAGATTTTATTAGATGTCCAGTCAAGACATGCACGACAAGCACAAGAAACAACAGCACCAAGTTAAAATTTGATTATATATATATATATATATATATATATATATATATATATATATAATCAAATATATATATATAAAATTTGATTATATATATATATATATATATATATATATATATAATCAAATTCTAACTTAGTGAAATCTGTACATTAAATATTTTTTGGAAAATTTTTGAAGAGACCGAATCTATAGTTTTAATTGGCACTAAACCTCAAAAAGTAAGCGGGACGAACCCGAGCGGTGCGAGGTTGAGTCGCTAGTAATAAATATGTAATAGTGAATATTAAAAACTGATATGATAAGCTAAACCGATAATTTAATACAGGTAAAGATAAAGAATCGACCTTAACGGCACCGATAATATTACACATTACTTGGAATTATAATAAACAGGAACAAGATGTTAGGTCAGCTAACCGGATACGGAAAAATAGTACCTTCGATGAGACCTCATACAAACATTCAGTGGTCCCCGACCTGAATTTTAAGCCAGTTTGTCTGGTTCCAAAATTTTGAAATAGTTTCGTGTTAATTAGGTAATTCGTTCAATGTCGCTTAGGTTAAACGATAGAGAACAATAATAGATAAAATTCCGGTTTGAGATGCATAATGTCTGTAAGTCAAAACTGAGAAATGTCACTCGGTAGGTACCTTCTTATTAGACTACTATATTTATCTGGACAAATAGTATTTTTTTTATTCAATAAATTCAAGGCAATACTATTGTCTTAGCTAATCGGCTAGTCATGCTTGCAACCTTTTTAATTTCGTTATATCATTTCAAACTGGTTTGTTGTTTACACACTTACCGTTGTTTGTTTCTTAGTATTACGAAATTTAGTGGATATCTAACTGCAAATGAAGATTTAATATAAAGATAATTTCATATTGCTTAAAAATAGAATGGATTATCGTTCATATCCTAAAACTATCAATAATGGCAATATTTTGTTACTTGCGTTCATTGTGTGCATATTTAAAAAAAATGCCTTTCATTTTTGTCACAAATAATCAATAAATATTAATAAATTAATTCTCACGATAGTTTATTAAATATAATAAAAAATGACTAGGTGTAAAATTCACGTGAAGAAGGGTTACGCAAAATGTATTATATGGAAATACTACTACTTGGCGACTGAGCTTTGCTCGGCGCTTGTGTATATCTATACCAAATATAAAACTTGCATTTAAAAAAAATACACATATCAATTTAAAAAGCAAAACCTCATCTAAATATAAAATTTCAAATCCAGCTGCTGGAGATTATTTGAAATTTGAAAGAATAAAATGATTTTTTAGTCATTTTCAAAAATTCATATCTCAGCTTCTATATAATTTAGAGATTTGATAAAGGCGGCATTTTTCTCTCTCAATACAATTTTTCTTAAGAAAAAAATACCTAATTGATCTGAACTTAAATCCGGCTTGGCTGTAGGCTTCTAACTGAGCCACTGTTTAAGCAATTTTTTCCAATTTTCAAGTGCGCTCAAATCTACAATTTTTGGAGTAGAGTGGAGTGGAGATCGAAGGGTCGAAATCTCAATTTTTTTGTTGAAGTATACTCTGTTTATTTCCAACCTAGTTTTCTCTGATTACTGCTGTCTCCGAATTACACCCACGTAAAGCCTATGGACTTCTCAAAATCCCTATTTTTAGATACTTACCTGGGAATTTTATGAATTGATTGCCCATGGATTTGCCCATATATTTTATGATCTTTGATTTTTTTGTATTTATCTCCGCCCCGAATAGGAGAATAACTATTAAAACGTCGGAATAATTCAAGAAAAAAAAAATGAAAAAAAAAAATCTATTTGATACTAATCGTCAAAACGTATCTACCTAGGGACGAACCTGAGCAAAGCGAGGGTGAGTAGTTATAAGATATAAAATAAAAATTATAAAATATATTTTGGTATATGACTTCAATTCACTTCCACTATTTTTCAACTTATTCCGTGCAGTGGCCAAGTGAGGGGCAGATGGATAGACAGAATTACAGAACTTTTTTATTTAAGGACCCTAAAAATATTTTGCCCGTTTACTTCACGATAATATAGTGATCCCTTAGTGTACCGGTTTTGGTATTTTCACTAGAATTATGTATAACGTGCTGGGTGATGGTACCTACTCAATTCCGAGTTTTGCTAGACTAGAACGGAACAAATGTCTGAATTAAACCCCTATCACGGACTATCTTCGACGATAATGTCTTAGAATAAATCGTACGTACGTATAGTTATCATGGAGTCATTTTAATTATTACTTTTATACATTATAATTGTAATAAATTAAAGTCATTAACGTTACCAATATATATATGCAATAAATAATTTGTAATCTATTCTAATATAACATAATATGGTGGCGATGGCCGCATTTATTATTCAGAAGATGCGTCGCAAATGTTTAGTATAAATGCGACCCTAAAGGTTATCGTCTGCTACATTTACGGTTATCTATACCTACTTATAATGTTACTGGTTTAACTCTTTCTATATTTATTGTATTATGATGTCGGATGTTATGAATAAGAAAATTAAATATAATATTTTTTTAATATGTGATAATATTTTAAGAGCAGTTTTATTTTACATATACTGGCAAATATTATAGCGAGAGGCATTATATGTATGATCAGGAAAAATCACATAGATAGGGTTAAATTTTACCATTAGTGCTCAGAATCCGTTTCTTATATGAGATGAATCGAAACAATTTTTACTAGACTAGCGACTCACCCTCGTTTCGCTCGGGTTCATCCCTAGCTTGTTTCCCCATACAAACTTTCATCCCCATTTCCACCCCTTAAGGGATGATTTCCGGGATAAAAGTATCCTATGTCGTTACCAGGGTCTCAAACTATCTTCTTATCAAATTTCATCAAAATCGGTTCAGTAGATCCAGAGATTATTCCCTACAACGTCACAAACTCACAAACTGTACCTCTTTATAATATTAGTATAGATTAAGCCAATTCTTGCACTCTTATATTCGTTATCTTTTTATGCTCTTCTTTCGTCCGCCTGACCGTACCATGATAACCTGTTACTCCTTAACTTCTCTGTTATTAGCGCCGTTTAAGACTTCTCCCAATATATTCATTTCTTATCTCACCCATTCCACACACATCTTTGCTTCATGCAATTTTATTTAATCCCTTTCCTTTGTGGCCCAACACACAGAAGCGTACAAAACGACAGGTTGTACAGTCGTGTAGATTGTTTACTTAATTTTAAGACGCACATGAACTGCAGCAAGTACATTAATACAAGAGAAAAAATATCGTTCTTAAATATATTAAGTATATCAGCAGTTTATGTTAACTTTATCTCTGTATGTACAGTGCGATGCAAATATATTCCAATTCAGGTGAATAGGGCAAGTTATCCCGGTATCTAGCGGGCAAACGAAAAATATTTGGGCAATTGCCAGCGATGCTCGAGCTTGCGGCCGACGTGATGCTTCATCAAACCGCAACGATTGGCCAATATTGTAACGCCGTACTTTAGAACGCACTGTTCTCCTAATGTGTACCATACGAACAATGTAATGACATAGTAAATACCATCAATAAAAATGTCAATACAAGAGTAGATCTCGGCTTATATTTCTCCTTGAAATTTTAATAAAAGAAACCCCAAGATACCGAAGTGGCTAATATATAATTAAAGTTTATTTGATACTAACATCGCCCGCGGCTCCGCCCGCGTTCAGATGACCAAAAACCAAATTCTTATGTTTTACATATTAGTATATTCTTACATTGCAGTTTTTGTATTTTTTCTCAGAAATGAGATATTTTCCCGCAGTAAAAAGTATCCTATATGTTGAACCGGATAACCAGCTATCATCATACCAAATTTCATCAAAATCTATCCAGTGGTCTTCCCGTGATGCGGTAACAGACAGACAGCCAGACAGACAAAAATTCTTAAACCTATAAATTCTTCCTCTGTATCGATAATAAAGTCTATTTCAATAAAATTTTCCAAAAAATATTCAATGTACAGATTCGGCTTAGTTACGATTTTATTATATGTATAGATAATAAATTCTGTTTATGTTTAGTACTTAACAAACACAGAAGTAATAATCTGTGATGATTTATAATAACTGACTATCTATAAAGCTAGATAATTTTAAAAGTTTTAATTTAAGAAATATTATTGATTGAAATAAGTGATTATCGCTTAACTCACAAAAGTTTCATTTATTGCAGGTGAGTAACGGCAATGTCATCGATACAGGAACACCTACACTACTGGTACATTTAATTTATTATATTAGCATGTGAATGCGATACACAAGTTTAGTTGCTCTATAGATAATTATTACATTTTTTTATATACTTATAGTATTCAATATTTATTTATTAATATTGCATATATTATAATGTACGAGTATAAATTAAGCTGCATTAAGATGCAGCTAGTAGTATAAGTACTATTATCGTTATAAAGTTATTCATTATACTTTCAGCTTTGCATGTGTAAATGTTCTATATTTCAGTTTGATATAGAGTACATTTACATAATATATGATGCTTTTTTATCAATCAGCCATTGCTTATTTGAATCACAATTATTTTAAATATTTAGATTTTACTGAGGTTTACGTATGCAAGGAGCAAACAATGAGGTCGTTGACTTTTTGTAAGTTTTCAGATAACGACATGACCTCACAACTGACTCTAATTTATGTCATATGCTAATTGTTTAATATACTAGTTTACTAGCGATGAGAACGATATCACAAACACTTACTATTAAATAAATATGTCTTAAGTTCAAATAAAGCGAATTACCCTTTAAAAAAAGTATATTATCTATGCAAGGATTAGTTACATTCTTATAATGCAAAAGTCAACAAGATCAGTTTATAAGGTTTTAAATTCTTTAACAATAATTTATTGGAATTTTTTTTTGTTTTATATTTCAGTACCTGGGCGACCGAGCTTCGCTCGGAGTTCTTTTTTGTTTTATCGTATTTTTAGATGATAATCTAGTTTTTGGCCAAGAGTACAATTTTCTTTTTAACAAAAAAAAAACAAAAAGTTGAATAAATACAAAAAAAAACACAAAATTAAAATCTTTGTATTCGACCGGGATCGAACCCCCACATACCAAATTTCACTTAAATCGTTAAAGCATTTCCGAGATCGCCGGTATATATAAATAAATAAATGTACAAGAATTTCTCGTTTAAAGGAAAAAATCAGAATATGCGAAGAAAGTATAACAATATGGTAGACTTATTTTTACTTTATGTATGTTGTACCCGGTAATTCCTTGATGAATTTTTCTTTTCAACCCAATGAAAACTATTCATTATTTAAGATTTTTTAACCGACTTCCAAAAAGGTGGAGGTTCTCAATACGTCGGAATCTTTTTTTATGTATGTTCACCGATTACTCGAAGACGCCTGAAACGATTTGGAAATATTTTTTTTGTTTCCTTGCACTTTGTCAGACACCGACTTCGAAAATATCTTAATAAGTTTTTATCTTGTGTGCAATGTGCATTTTTATTTGTGCGTAAACCCATGCCGACCACATGTGCTAAGGAATATTATCGTAATCAAGAGAAATATTTTTAAATAAAGCTCTTTAAAAGTGACTTTAAAACTTAAAATTAAAACTATTATTACCAATCGGCTGGATGAAAAGGTTTTTAATAGCTGTTGCCCGACCCATTGCACTAGACCGACAACATAAAAAACGAACGATGTTATTATCATTTAGTAGTTGTTAGCCGAGTTTGCTCGTCAATTTTCCTGTAGGTACTTAATATTCAATATATGGCCATTAAAAAATGATCTGTGTGTTCTGCAAGCTACAATAGAGGTTCTTTAAGAAAACAAAAATATTGTGCATTTTTGAAGACAATTTGAAGACCAAGAAGTATCGTTGAAAGTTTTAATTCTAAAAATATTTAGTACTAGCATTTCCCGCGGCTCCGCCCGCGTTCAGATGACCAAAAACCAAATTCTTAGGTTTTATATATTAATATACTTTTACATTGCAGTTTTTGTATTTTTTCTCAGAAATGAGATATTTTCCCGCGATAAAAAGTATCCTATATGTTGACCCGGATAACCAGCTACCACCATACCAAAATTCATCAAAATCCCTCCAGTGGTTTTTCCGTGATGCGGTAACAGACAGACAGACAAATATTCTAAAAACTATAGATTCGGCCTCTGCATCGATAATTATTTCAATAAGATTTTCCCAAAAATATTTAATGTACAGATTCGGCTTAGTTACAATTTTATCTAATATATAAAATTCTCGTGTCACAGTTTTCGTTGCCATACTCCTCCGAAACGGCTTGACCGATTTTAATGAAATTTTTTGTGCTTATCCGGTATCTATGAGAATCGGCCAACATCTATTTTTCATCCCCCTAAATGTTAGGGGTAGTCCACCCCTAAATTTATTTTTTTATTTTTTAGACAAATTTTTTAATTTCTATTTTTTTATGATACAACATACAAAAATACATACAATCCTCAATTTTCACTAGGGACGAACCCCAGCGGAGCGAGGGTGAGTCGCTAGTTATATGTATAGATTAATAAAAGTTTGCTTCTTTTTTTTCAAATTGCACTCAATGTCGTATTAAATTTGCTGTAGTGTGGTTTTAATACGATTTCTCTGCGTTCGATAATATAAAAGACACTCATTAGAATAAATTCATTAAAGATATTATTAAAAATACCTGTTTCCTGAAAATATTATTCTCATTCTTTAACTTTGATTTTTGCTTTCTAAATTAGTTGTAGATTACTTTCCTAAAACATTGAAAATATCTTATACACGTCAAAAAAAGGAAAAAAAGTGGTTTCCAAATAGCCCCGTTGTTGGGGCTTCCTTTAACACTAAATTTCGATTGAAGGAAAACTTCTTACTTCGCATTTTACATGGTCAAGTTCCCCCGTAGACATCTCATACATCCTTTATCCAAAATATGGATGGTACCTACTCGAAAAAGGATGTTTAGCATTCGTTAAAGGTATATATATATTTTGTAATTACTTATTTAGGTATAGAAATGTTTGAAAATGTTGTAACTTTGACTGCGTTTCCTCAAAATATTTTTCATATATTTGGACTCCCTATCACCTCCCCTATCCAAAAATACCACCAATTCCTCCAGGGGTCGCGTCCCATATACTAAACTTGTGACCACCATTCACTAAGGAAAAGACAACCTCAGCGTCAACCTGGACCGCTTGATGTTTGATGCGCAAGAGTTTCAGGAATCGACTGCTCCTCAGACTTGCTTTAAAACGGTTGGATGTCTAACGGGTCCCGTAACGTATTCCTTCCGAGCATCTTTTGTAGGTACTAATGGTGCCTGAGGCACTTTGAAAGTTTCTGCGGCCTTTTTCTTTGACATTCTGCATTCTTAGCTTTTTCCATGTCTTCCGCTTTATAATTCATGTAGGATTTAGACCCTGGAGTCTTTTGATATATGCGCACCATTTTTAAACACTGATTGTATTCTTCTCGTAAAATTTTAGCACGTCGAAAATGGTAAAGGAAGGATCCTGAGGTAAATTCTATTCACATACATTCCTATGTTTTCCTTTAATTTTTAATAATGATTATGGTGTTTCGACTGATGATGGAATTTTGCCACTATGTGAATACTAGTTATATTTTGCATGTACAATAAATTTTAATAAAATTTACTTAACAAATATAACTGTTTTGAAACTTACTTCAAATTCTTTATGTTCATACGAAAAACAGGTTTATAATATGCAATTGATTCACAAGGGAATAGACACAGCATACAAGCTTTAAGTTAGACAGTTAACTGACGTTGAGGTTACCCAACCAAGGTTATATTAATCTATAGCTTCCAAAAAAATTATTAAAATAAAATTAAATATTTCATTAACATTGATTATACATTCATATATGTATAATGTATATATGTATATTCATAAATACAAAAACAAATATCAAAATAAAGTAGTTCCATTCCTATTAAAAGGGAAAGTATCTAAAACGCTGGCCGCATTGCCTGTTTAGAGTAATATGCTTTATTTTTTGACCAAATTATTGGCCAGTCTTTGGGTGCATGCGAAGTTCAGATCAACTTGCGAGGCTGCGGCTCCCGCTGTGACGTAGCCGCTTGATGTGAGACAGATCAAACGTATATACAAATTATACATGTACGTACATATATTACGGTATCTTAAATCTTCAAAACACCAATGACATTCTATCTCTAAAAGGTCTCTTACCGTCGTCACGTGTAATACTATTCGGCTCAAGGATAGCCGGCATGTTGGCAATAGCAAGGCCTCCGGATAATTTCAATGTTTGTGGCATGGGTGGTGGATCAGCGCTACCTTGACATGAGAGACCTTCGTGGCCTGAGTGACCAATTCACTATATTGACAAATTCGGGGCTGATTTGTTTCGGACAACAAAACGCATATTTATATTTACAATTATTATTAAATAGATACACATATTATGAGTATTTAAGTAGTATAATTAATACATTATAATATTAAAAATAAGGAAATAAAAACGAAATAAATATTAATAAGTATTTATCTAGTGCGAATCAGATTTCATTAAATAAAGATTCCGTATATGTATTACCCATGAGAATTTAAAAACTACCTCTCATGATGAACCTAATAAAACTTTTCTTTAATACTCTAGTTTGCTTGACAAAATTAACATCCAAAATCTGAATCCATTTATTTAAGTACCAACGCCCAACAAACGTTTGCGGACGTCACCTTAATCACATAACAAATTTTAATTTCGGTAAATTGGGAGAAAATAATATACATAAAATTCATATTTTACTTTATAAACGTATTTTCTTCGGTTTTACAAATTGCTGTTGCATTTTACGAATGTGGGCAGTGGGACAATATATATTGTAAATACTTATTTGTCACAAGACATTATATTAAATACCTACTAGCTGCACACACTCGCTTTGCTCGGGTTAGTCCTTAGGTACGTTTAAGGGTTAGTATGGAATAGACAGACTTATATGTTATACATACATACGTATAATGATTTGTTGTGGGTTGTTTTATAACGTGTTTTTCCGTGAGAACGAGATAATCTCCCGCGATAAAAAGTAGCCTATGTCACTCTCCAGCACTCCAACTATCTCCACACAAAAATTACTTCAACCGTCATCTGTTTCGCCGTGAAAGAAGGACAAACAAACCAATAAACTTTCACATTTAGTATGGATTTATAAAATGGAAAAATACTAAAA